CTCACTCTCAGCTCTGCCTTCGGATGAGTCCGTAGAGTCGAGTGGTCCGTATGCAGAGCTTGTTGGCTGCCTCATGTACCTGATGACCTGCACACGACCTGACCTTGCATACCCTCTGAGCATTCTTGCACGCTATGTTGCTCCTGGGAGACACAGACCGGAGCACATGGCTGCAGCGAAGAGGGTATTGCGCTACCTGTGCAGTACGTCGGGCATGGGGCTAGTGCTTGGAGGGCGGAGTCCAGTGGTCCTTACCGGCCACGCGGACGCTTCTTGGGCTGACGACCAGGCTACGCAGCGGTCGTCACAGGGTTACATCTTCAGCCTTGGTTCCGGTTCTGTCTCGTGGCGGTCTACTCGCTCGTCTTTAGTTCTCGGCTCCAGTTGTGAGGCTGAGATCTACGCCGGGGCCATGGCTGCACAGGAGCTTCGCTGGCTCACCTACCTGCTGACCGACCTTGGAGAGCCGCCTCGTTCTCCTCCAGTGCTGTACGTAGACAACAAGGCCATGCTGGCCTTGTGTCGAGAGCAGCGCTTGGAGCACAGAACGAAGCACATTGCTCTCCGCTACTTCCTTGCTCGTGAGCTGCAGCAGCGTGGTCAGTTGCGACTTGCTTACGTGGCCTCTGAGGCCAACACTGCTGATGTGTTCACCAAGGCACTTGCGCCTTGTGACCATCAGCGCTTTTGTACCCAGCTGGGTCTTGTACCTGTCTTGCCTCACTTGCTCTCTTCTTGACTTTACTTGTACTTTGTTATATATATGTCTGTACTCCTGCACGTGAACTGGCCTCTGGCCCTGCTCTTGTGCTCGGACTGTGTGGTGACTTTGTGATCCACCCTGAGCTTGCTTTGCTTTGCTTTGCTTGACTGGTCTTGTGACCCCTTGTTCTCCCCCACTTTGCCTATGGGGGTGTGTCAGATTATTATGGCTGATGCATGTTTGTAGGCTATAGTGGGGTAGCACATATGGGGTACAGTTTGCTAGGGTTGTATTTGTACCCAACTCTGACTTAGTCAATTCATTCCTGTTCTGTTAGTTTCACAGCAGGAACAACGACACCAGTCACAGTCGACGAAGCACCACCAACACCCGCGCAACAGCTGAATCCGACTCAACGTGAAGTCCACCGAAGCGCCAACCTCGTCGCCAGCTTTTACTCCAACTCCGACGCATATCAGCGTTCACCCGGACACCGCGCCTCTGAAGAGATCTGGCACGCACGCACAGGACATCCAAGCAACACGGTTTTGAATAACACGATAAGAGCAGGGGTCCTTGACAAAGACTCTCTACTTCTACCCGATGGCAGAGAACTCCAGAAGGCACGAGGGACTTGTCTTATATGTCCCGAAGGTGACTTACCTCATCGACCGTTTGCTTCACATCACAACCCGAGCGCTCCAGCGTACGCACCACTCGAAAAAGTCTACAGCGACATCCTCTACAATCGCGAACCAGGACAAGTCAACTACAACTACACCATCACCTTCATCGACGCCGCCACTCGATACGTCTGGCATCGCAACCTACCCAGCCGCGACATGGCGCTCGCAGCATTCGCCGCCTGGCTACCGATAGCAGAGAGAGAGTCTGGAACACAACTGAAAAATTTCCAGTCAGACGGAGGTGGCGAGTACACCTCTCAGCGCTTCAAGCAGTTCTTGGCGGAAAGGGGGATCAAGCAACTCCTCTCCCTTCCCTACGCACATCAGCAGCAAGGTGTTGCAGAACGACTGAACAGGTTCCTGCAGAACAGCATGCGCAAACTGTTACGTGGCATGCGGCTACCCAACCACCAGTGGCCAGCAGCAATGGACCACGCTGTCATGCTGCACAACTTGTTGTCGTCGTCGTCACTCCCGAACAACGCATCACCGCATCTGCTGTGGACAGGGAAGCAGGGCAGCACGAAAATGTTACGAGTTTTCGGGTGCATGGTACAGTACAGACCCCCAGAAGCACGAGCGGGAAGATTTTCGCAACGGGCACAGTGGGGACTACACCTCGGCATCGATAAAAATTACAACGCATGGAGAATCTTCGACGTCCACACAAAGGAAACAGTAGCAGCACGTGACGTGATCTTCTACAAAAGACTCACCCTTCAGACGTACCTCGCCAACTTGCACGAAAATCGGGACCTCACCAGTGGTTTTCGTGGTGACCGAGCCTTCGCGTCAGCAGCGGACGAAGCAGACTGGGATGAACAGAACGTCGACAACGCCTCGGAAGAAGCCGGACCTCTCCCATACTGCTCCGTCGACGTGCCCATGGATGAGGATAATCCTCGCGACAGTAACAACGCCGAAATCTTCTACCGTTTCGCCGACGATGGTTACGTAACACCTGTGACAGTCAACACCAACGAAGCAGAAAGGGTAGGGCCAAATTTCATGCCCGACCCAGAAACGGGAGACGAAGCAGCTTATCCCGAGGATCCAGAACTCCCTCGATACTCACAGACTGGGCTGCAAATCCTTGGTCTCGTCACCGCAGTCCATGGCGCCGGCATTCCTAAGGAGCCTGCGACGGTTCAGCAGGCTCTGGGGGGGGAACAGAGGGAGAAATGGCGTGAAGCTATGGACAAAGAGCTGAAGGCACTGGAGGAGCGCAACACCTGGAAAATTGTTCCCATCGGCGTAACTCAAAATAAAAACATTCTTACCGGGAAATGGGTCTTCCGTGTGAAGACGAAAGCTGATGGCACCATCGACAAATTCAAAGCCCGCTGGGTCGTACGTGGCTTCGACCAGGAGCACGGAAGAGATTACACCGAAACCTTCGCTCCGGTCAGACGCCACACCTCACTCCGAATTCTCATCGCCGTCGCCGCCATGAAGAAAAAGAAATTGCGACAAATCGACGTTGCGAACGCATTTCTCTACGCACCTGTGGATGCAGAAATCTTCGTCGAACTCCCGCACGGCTCCCACGGCGAACCCAACCGAGTGTGTCAACTACTCAAATCACTCTATGGGATCAAGCAGGCACCGCGACTGTGGCAGCAGTACCTACACGCCCGCCTCATCCGCATCGGCTTCAAACAACTCCCGCATGACCAGGGCATGTATCGCCTCACAAAAGGAGGCGATTACGTCCTACTAATCGTCTATGTGGACGATCTCCTCTACATCGGGTCAACCGACGACATCGCCACGTGGTTCGAAGGGGAGCTCCAGAAAGACCTCACGCTCACGGTCTCTTCTACGGTTACGCAATACCTCGGGCTCAACATTCGTGAGGAAGAAAACGCAATCTACCTAAGCGCCGAGAAGTACGCCGACACTATCGCGAAACGCTTTCGTCTCACACCAAGCGCCATCTCCACACCTTACCGCTACACGTCAGGAACCGAAAAGGGGCAATCTACTCTACTTAAACCCGCCGGCATACGCGACTATCAGAAGAAGCTTGGATGCCTTCTTTTCGCAGCAGTCACATGCCGTCCCGACCTATCCTACTCCGCGAGTTAGCTCGCTACCTATCTCAAGAGACCTGAAGCAGAGCATCTGGCGAAACTCGATCGTGCTCTCCACTACTTCGTCAGCACCGCGACGATCGGACTAACTTATCACAAAAACGTGACTACACCGACCAAGCTAATCGGCTACGTCGACGCCGATCACGCCGGCGACACCGACAACAGGCGCTCACGCACCGGCTATGTCTACCGCCTTGAGCCTATCGGTCCTATCTCCTGGCAGTCGAGCAAGCAGGAGTTAATCGCACTATCTTCAGCAGAAGCAGAATATATTGCACTCTGCTCAGCCACCAAGGAGGGACTCTACCTTCGCGAACTACTGGAAGAAGCGAAGCTAGCCGAGTTACCCAGCTTCACCGTGTTCTGCGACAACCAGTCGGCAATTCGCATCGCCAACAAAAACGGCTTCGCAAACAGGACGAAACACATCGCCCTGCGCTATTTCTTCGTGAAGGACGAGATAGAAAAAGGGAAACTCGATCTGTCATACTGTCCAACATCCGAGATGGCAGCCGATTACTTGACCAACTCGGAAAGCAGAAGTTCGAATACTGCATGATGCTGACTGGACAAGGCCACGTCACCAGCAGCGACACTCCAGAAGCGAAGGGGAGTGTTGGAAACAATAAGTCCTAAGTGCGCTTCTGTCGTACCAAAACCCAAGGCACCAAGCGAAGCAGTCCCAATCGAAGCATCGAGTCAACCTCGGAGGTTAGGGTAACCGCCTGGAGGTTACGAGAAAGTCAAAGGTCGCTGACCTTTGACTCGACAATTACAGCGCGACAGTTAAGGACACACAACTGACTCGTTACAGAGCAGTTGCCCGAGTCGCACTATATCGAACCGCAACAGCAATACAGTTATCTATCTATCTATTCGTATTCCCTGTACTCTTATATAAATCCTTGTATTTGCTTGTTTAATTTAATCTACTTTGCTCTCACACACCAGTGCAAGGTCGGTTCACAATCCTCATTAAACGCTTCCGCTATCACAAGTTTCTACCCAAGAGTTCTCCTCTACAAAGATCCTAAGGGCTATTTCTCAGCCCAACAAAAGCCTCGTAGTTCACACCCTTTCTTGATCCTCCGTGATGAAACCCCTTATCCGGTACTACCCGCCCCTTTTCATCTTCCTTGTACATCGGTATTTGATACTCAAAGTCAGGTGCATAACGGGGGCTCCTTTTCAATATCTCCTTCACGGGCTCCCCATCCCCCTTGCTCTTTCTTTAATTTTTACTCCACTGTGCATCAAGGTGGAGTTGTGCTGTGATGCGGGCACCGTCTCCCCCGGTTCCTGACGTTTGAGTACCACAATAAAGGGGAGGGTGGCTTGGTGGGGGTGAGGGCACGGTGGTTTCAAGCAGCATCACAACACCTGCAGCAGCACTCAGGCGCTGGTTTTCATGCTCCACTTGCAAGCAGCAACATGAGCTCTGGTTTATACCTCCTATTGCAAGACGGGGAGGTAACCACTGGTTTCATGCTCCGCTTGCAAGCAGCAATGAGAGCTCTAGTTTATACACTCACATTTCTTGCTAGCATCCATCTCAATCTGGTCTATACACTTCCTAAGCCCCCTCACACGAAGTGGGAGACCAACGACCCACCCACCTGCTTGTTCCGCAGCAGCAAACATTTTCGCCACAGCTTCTCCAGCCTCCGATGCGAGCACATAGAGCATGTCAATAGCACTTGCGTCATAATTTCCTCCTCTAAGAGCTGTCAACCCACAGCGCATCATCGCCATAAGAATCAGCATATGCGTTTTGATGGTCACGTTATGTTACTGTATTGTATCCTAGATGGGTTGAAGCACGGTGGTCTGGAGTCGCATGCATGATTCGTAGCATTGGATGCATCTGTCTCCACATCCACCTGGAGTGTCTTTATAATGCGTTTTGGGATGTGGATTTCTCGTGGAATTTGGGATGGTGCAGAGGAGAGACAAATGGGTTTGATAAGAGGAGAGCAAAGGGGAGACTGGTGGAGCAGATGAGAGATGAGGGGAGGGAACACCAGTAAGGGGAGGAAGGTGAGCGCGGAGGGGAGGAATGTGAGCGTGGAGGGGAGGAATGTGAGCGCGGAGGGGAGGAATTTGAGTGCGGAGGGGGAGAGGAGGAATGTGAGCGCAGAGGGGGAGTGGAAGAATGTGAGCGCGGAGGGGGAGAGGAGGAATGTGAGCACGGAGGGGAGGAATGCGAGCATGGAGGGGAGGAATGCGAGTGAGGAGGGGGAGGGGAGGAATGTGATTGCGGAGGGGAGGAATGTGAGCACGGAGGGGAGGAATGTGAGTGTGGAGGGGAGGAATGTGAGCGCGGAGGGGAGGAATGTGATTGCGGAGGGGAGGAATGTGAGCACGGAGGGGAGGAATGTGAGTGTGGAGGGGAGGAATGCGAGCGCGGAGGGGGAGAAGAGGAATGTGAGTGCGGAAGGGAGGAATGTGAGCACGAAGGGGAGGAATGTGAGTCCGGAGGGAAGGAATGTGAGCGCAGAGGGGAGGAATGGGAGCGCGGAGGGGAGGAATGTGAGCGCAGAGGGGAGGAATGTGAGCGTAGAGGGGAAGAATGTGAGCGCGGAGGGGAGGAATGGGTGCGTGGAGGGAGAAGGAGGGAATGTGAGCGCGGAGGAGAGGAATGTGAGTGTGGAGGGGAGGAATGCGAGTGTGGAGGGGTAGAGGAGGAATGTGAGCACAGAAGGGAGGAATGTGAGTGTGGTGGGGAGGAATGCGACTGTGGAGGGGAAGGGGAGGAATGCGAGCGCGGAGGGGGAGAGGAGGAATGTGAGCGCGGAAGGGAGGAATGTGAGCGCGGAGGGGAGGAATGTGAGTGCGGAGGGGAGGAATGTGAGCGCGGAGGGGAGGAATGTGAGCGTGGAGGGGAGGAATGTGAGCACGGAGGGGAGGAATGGGTGCGTGGAGGGGGAAGGAGGGAATGTGAGCTTGGAGGAGAGGAATGTGAGCGCGGAGGGTAGGAATTGCGAACACGGAGGGGGAAGGGAGGAATGTGAGCACGGAGGGCAGGAATGCGAGCACGGAGGGGAGGTGTGGGGGCATGGAGGGGGAAGGAAGGAATGTGAGCGCTGAGGGGAGGAATGTGAGCGCGGAGGGAAGGAACGTGAGCGCGCAGAGGAGGAATGTGAGCGCGGAGGGGAGGAATCATGTGAGCGCAGAGGGGAGGAATGTGAGCGCGGAGGGTATGAATGCGGACGCGGAGGGGGAAGGGAGGAATGTGTGCGCAGAGAGGAGGAATGCGAGCGTGGAGGGGAGGAATGCGAGCGAGGAGGGGAGGAATGTTAGCGGGTGCGACGGTGTCCCACTCCAAGGCATGACGGGCCAACAAGGGGGGACGCGGTGGTGGCACGGGTCTTTGCGTAGGCTATGCAGCTTTGACGCTCGTACGGATACTGTTTTTTCTTCGAATGTCTAGTCCTTGTTCGTCGCATCAATCCGACAGAATGCGGTCAAGACTATCCACTGACTTGCTATGCCTTACATTGCGCCTTCTGCTACGGCGACAAGACCTCATTGCAGGCGACCCGGCGAATGTGGAGGGTGGGTAGTTACGGTACTATCCTACGCAATATTGCTCCTCCTAAGCGTTATTATGTCCATGTAGGCTTCCGTGAAATGTCTGCGAGTGATGCACGAGCATATGCTGCTGGAGGTGAATGAGCTTGCCTTAATTGCCGCTAGCGTGAGATTCCGTATTTACCCGGCTAATGGACCCCCCAAAGTTATAGCCCCCCGGGTCGTTAAATGGGGGCGGGTATAATGCTATCTCCACTTTCGTATTAGACCCCCCTTTTTGTAATGCATTCAAAATTAGACCCCCCTTAGTGCTGAAAGCTCAAATTCCACGAAACTGTAGCGAGACACAGCATATTAGGGTAGTGAAATTTACTGATTTGACTGGATTACTGACCACGTGCTGGTCTCGCGTCAGCGCGTGGTCGATTTTCTCATAACGCGATATCAGAATGGTGACATGTGATGTCGTAAAAGAGTGTTTGACATGACTAAATATATCTACATGTGTATGTGTGTGTGTGTGTGTGTGTGTGTGTGTGTGTGTGTGTGTGTGTGTGTGTGTGTGTGTGTGTGTGTGTGTGTGTGTGTGTGTGTGTGTGTGTGTGTGTGTGTGTGTGTGTGTGTGTGTGTGTGTGTGTGTGTGTGTGTGTGTGTGTGTGTGTGTGTGTGTGTGTGTGTGTGTGTGTGTGTGTGTGTGTGTGTGTGTGTGTGTGTGTGTGTGTGTGTGTGTGTGTGTGTGTGTGTGTGTGTGTGTGTGTGTGTGTGTGTGTGTGTGTGTGTGTGTGTGTGTGTGTGTGTGTGTGTGTGTGTGTGTGTGTGTGTGTGTGTGTGTGTGTGTGTGTGTGTGTGTGTGTGTGTGTGTGTGTGTGTGTGTGTGTGTGTGTGTGTGTGTGTGTGTGTGTGTGTGTGTGTGTGTGTGTGTGTGTGTGTGTGTGTGTGTGTGTGTGTGTGTGTGTGTGTGTGTGTGTGTGTGTGTGTGTGTGTGTGTGTGTGTGTGTGTGTGTGTGTGTGTGTGTGTGTGTGTGTGTGTGTGTGTGTGTGTGTGTGTGTGTGTGTGTGTGTGTGTGTGTGTGTGTGTGTGTGTGTGTGTGTGTGTGTGTGTGTGTGTGTGTGTGTGTGTGTGTGTGTGTGTGTGTGTGTGTGTGTGTATGTGTGTGTGTGCGTGCGTGCGTGCGTGCGTGCGTGCGTGCGTGCGTGCGTGCGTGCGTGCGTGCGTGCGTGCGTGCGTGCGTGCGTGCGTGCGTGCGTGCGTGCGTGCGTGCGTGTGTGTGTGTGTGTGTGTGTGTGTGTGTATGTGTGTGTGTGTGTGTGTGTGTGTGTGTGTGTGGTGGTGGGCTGGCGATTCTTTCCGTGGTTGAGGTCGCCCGAAGTCGCAGAATATGCTTTTTAGGCTGGTTTAGTGATGTGACGAATCAACATGCATCACAAACCAACCTGTCACTTCGGTGATGTAAGGATTTACAAATCCTTACTAAGGCACTCGTTAGTAAGGCCATTCCTAGGGTCACGCGATGAACCTGTCTTGCCTATTTCGTCGCACCGTGTCAGAACATTATATAGCTTATACATTTGTGTAGGCTGTAGTGGGGTATCCCATAGGGGGTACAACCCAATTAGGGTTAGTACTTGTACCCAGTTCATTCATAGTTGATTCATTCTCGTTTCTTCTCATGGTATCGAGCGGGTTCCCTCGTGGGAACTGTTCTTAGGGCCCACCACAATCGATATTTTTTTTTCCTGCCCGGAGCGCGCCTTGCTTAGGCCCCCCCTTCGGCCCCATCGAGTCGCCCCTAGCGGCCTCCCTGCCGCCTCCCTTACTCGGCCGTCGCCGCCCTTAGCGGCCCGTAGCCACCCTACGCGGCCCGTCGCCGCCCTTGCGCCGCCCGTGCCGGCCCGTCGCCGCCCGTCCCGGCCCGTCGCCGCCCGTGCGCCGCCCGTCCCGGCCCTGCGCCGCTGTCCCGGCCCGTCGCCGCCCGTGCGCTGCCCGTCCCGGCCCGTCGCCGCCCGTCCCGGCTCGTCGCCGCCCGTGCGCCGCCTGTCCCGGCCCGTCGCCGCCCGTACCGGCCCGTCGACGCCCTTCGTGGCGTCGCGTGCCGCCCGTCGCGTGCGGCCCCGCCACCCTACCCGCGGCTCTGCCGCCTTACCTGCAGCCCCGCCCCCTACCCGTGGCTCTGCCACCTTCCCTGCGGCCCCGCCCCCCTACCCGCGGCTCTGCCGCCTTACCTGCGGCCCCGCCCCCTACCAGCGGCTCCGCCGCCTTACCCGCGGCCCCGCCCCCTAACTGCGGCCCCGCCATCTTACCTTCGGCCCCGCCTCCTTACCTGCGGCCCGGCAACCCTATCGGCGGCCCCGCCATCCTACCTGCGGCCCGCCGCCTTACTCATGGCCCCGCCACCCTACCGTCGGCCCCGTCACCTGCTGCAGCGCCGCCCGCCACCCGAGCCGCCCGGGCCGCCTCACCCAGCCGAGCAGCCGGCCGCCGCGCCGCCCTCCAACCGAGCCGCCCAGCGGCAGAGCAGCCGAGCCGCCCAGCAGCCGAGCCGCCCAGCAGCCGAGCCGCCCAGCAGCCGAGCCGCCCAGCAGCCGAGCCGCCCAGCAGCCGAGCCGCCCAGCAGCCGAGCCGCCCAGCAGCCGAGCCGCCCAGCAGCCGAGCCGCCCAGCAGCAGAGCCGCCGAGCCGCCGAGCTGCCCAGCAGCCGAGCCGCCGACCAGCCGAGCCGCAGAGCCGCCCTACTTCCGGGCCGCCCGAGCTGCCCAGTCTAGTGAGCACAGCGCCTCTTTCACTGCACTGCCCTCACCCTACTGTTTGCACTGCTAGTCGTCTGTGGTCATGGCTACCCCTAGTGTCCTCACTTTTGACGCTGAGGGTCGGGCCATTGACTTTGAGGTCTGGGTAGATGACCTGCAACTGTTCTTATAGTGCGATAGGGCATACGGCCTCTCTCTCTTTGACCTTACCTCTGGCGCTTCTCCTGCCCCTGCTGTTGATGCTGACGCCACTGTTCGTTCCCAGTAGGCCACGCGCGACGCTGCTGCACGTCTTGCTGTGCGTCGCCACCTCCCTACCTCTGAGCATGCGCACTTTAGTCAGTACAAGATTGCTCAGACCTTGTACGACGCTGTAGTCGCGCGCTAGTCCTCCCCTGCCACTGCTGCACTGAGCCGTCTTATGCTACCGCACCTCTTCCCTGACCTTCCTGCCTTTCCCACAGTAGATGACCTCATTATGCACCTCCGCACTAGTGACACTCGCTACCGCGCTGCACTTCCTGCTGACTTCTGCGCCAAGAACCCCCCCCCCATGTACATCACTCTCTACTACATAGTCACTCGCCTCCCTGACTCCCTTCGTGTAGTCAGGGACCACTTCCTCTCATTCTGTCCCACCACTCTCACTGTTGACCTCCTCGAAAAGGCCTTCCTCGCGATAGAAAAGAGCATAGTCGCTGTAGGAGCTTCTCGAGGTGACCCGCGCACCCCCATCTTTGAGGGGTGTTCCCCCTCCCCCCTGCTGCCCTCTGTTGCCTCTGCTGCTGCGGCCGACCTCCTTGGTCTTGAGTCGGTCGGTGCGGCGTCTGCCCCTAGCGGGAGACGCCGCCCTGGCAAGGGCAAGGGGGGCAGGGGCGCTGGAGGAGCGAGCGGGGGCGGTGGAGGTGGAGGTGGAGGCGGTGGGGGGAGTGGGGGTGGCGGTGGGAGTGGAGGTGGGAGTGGAGGGGTAGGTGGCGGCAGTGGAGGCGGAGGCGGCGGCGGCGATGGCGGTGGGAGCGGAGGTGGCGGAGGTGGCGGCGGTGGAGGAGGCGGTGGAGGCGGCGGCAGTAGCGGAGGCGGCGGAGGCGGCGGAGGCGGTGGGGGTGGCGGTGGAGCTGGTCGCGGGTCTTCAAAGCGGAGTGGCTCCGGTGGTGGCTCGCGCCAGCACCAGCAGCGCGGTCGTGAGACCCTGTCCCCTCAGCAGCTCCGTGAGTGGTACACTGCACGCCAGCGGGGTGGGATTTTTGGTCCGTGCACCTACGTCCTGCGCACCGGCGACCGTGCGGGTGAGCAGTGTGGGGGTGCGCACCCCACCCAGCGCTGCTTTGGCCGCCTGACGGACGCGTGGCGTCACCAGTTCCCGGAGGCCACAGAGATCCCACGCTGGGGTGAGCTGTCTAGGGCGGGTGTTGCCATCTATGATCTTGACTTTGATGCTATTCTCTCTGCCATGTATGTTGTGTCTATTAGTGATGAGGGTGACTGTTACCGGTGTTTTCCGCCCGATCCGGGCATTGCGACTGCTGCTCTAGGTACTGGTGCGGCTGCTGCCCTAGGTGCTTGCGACGCTGCTGCTCTAGGTGCTAGTGCGTCTGCGTCCTCAGGTACTGGTGAGTCTGCGCTCTCAGGTACTTCGTCGGCTTCGGCCTCCCTCACCTTCACCCTTGACTCTGGGGCTTCTCGCTCCTTCTTTTGGGACCGTACCACACTCACGCCACCTTGTCGGCCGGTTGCGGTGTCTCTCGCTGACCCCTCTGGGGGTCCTGTCCTGTCTCGCTTCTCCACAGTCCTCCCGTGTCCGGCGGCTCCCTCTGGCACCCTGTCTGGTCTCTACCTCCCCTCGTTCTCTACAAACCTGGTGAGTGGTGCTGACCTACAGGATTTGGGAGTACACCAGTTCACTCCTGCGCGTCAGAGGGTGACGCACTACGTTTACCCGTCAGCCGGGGTCGAGCCTGTACACACTGACCACTGAGTCTCCTCCCGTTGCTGAGTCTGGTAGGGTCACTACGTCGGGGCAGGTGTTTGCTGCAGCGTCCAGGTCTGGTCCTGAGTCTGCCCCCTGTTCGTGTCGTCTCCTGTCTCACGAGACTCTCCTCTGGCACCACCGCCTTGGTCACCCCTCTCTGCTTCGGCTCAGAGGCATGGCCTCCCGTCTTCTTGTGTCTGGTCTCCCCCGGTCCCTCCCTCCCCTTCCTCAGGGCCCTAGCCCTACCTGTGTCCCCTCTGTCGAGGGGCGCCAGCGTGCTGC